TAAAGTCAGCAGTGGGAGCCATTGGCTCCTGCTGCTGTCAGTCAAATCCTGTGAGGAGGGAGCAGGGCCAGGCCACACTGTGTGTGTTTATGGGTGCACACAGTGTGGCTTAGGAGCAAACCTGCATAGCAAATGGCTTGGAGCCTAAAGCGCTGACAGGCAAGGCCGGTTCAAGACTATTTTGCGCCCTAGGCAAGACCAGCTACTTGCGTCTCCCCCAACAGAAAACATTTTGTGTTTAAACAGCAGAAAATAGTAAATCATCAACAACACATGAAACTGCTAACTTTCTTTTAATTTGCAAAAATAAGTGCCATAAGATGCCACCAGCACCAATATTAAAGACAAAATCAGTGTCACGGACGGACTGTATCTGTGGCTGGCAGTGGCAGGGGGACAGTTGCAGTGAGTGGAGGATGATGAATCCACACTCTGACAGATCCCAGGCTGGGATTCCAGGCAATGGGGGGAGATAAAACGCTGTTAAGGCAGGCAGCCCAGCCCCCACACAGAGAAAGAACACCTGAACTGAGCGATCCCACATAGTGACAGATCCGACACAACACACCACCACCAACACTGACACAAATTAGCAGGCCGGGTCACACTCACACAGACATGAGAAATCAGAGTCAGACATTACCTTCCCCCACAGGTGCAGCTCCACCTCCACTGATGAATGGGAAGAGAAGGGCTGGAACTCCACAGTGATCAGCAGCTTGCAGTAACGCACTGAGTCAGAGAGTAACACTAGAAGGAGCGGCAGGAGAGAGTTCTGGCCTGTGCTGTGCCCAAGTGCCTGTAGGTGGCAGTGCACCCTAGGCGGCCACCTAGTTTGCCTAGTGGAAGCACCAGCCCTTTAAGGAGGGAAACCTTCAAATTGGAAGTTCAGGGTCGCTCTATGAATTGTCATTGCCCAGAACAGGTACGTATAACATGTTTTTTTTTTTTTTTTTTTTAAATCAAGCCTTTACAATGTCTTTAATGCTTCTATTCATCATAAAATAACCATGGATTTGCAGCACACCAAGATTATTTTCTATTGTAGTATACCTTGTTTCAAAAATTAGTTAAAGCATATCTATTATCAAAATGATCAATATGAAATTATATATTCATTTCTAATTATTTTTAACCTACTCTTTTTAATCTGAACGATCTTGAAAAGTGTAAACTTACTTTGTAAAGATCCTCACACATTCACTTCCTTGAATTTTGTGTTATGTATTCTCTATGTCCCGTGAGTAGATAATGCTGTGTCACACATTTCACAGAGCCTGCCTTCTGAACTACAAAGGTGCTGAGAGGAGGAGTTTCAGGAGGCGGAGTCAGTACAGGAATCACTGCTTGCAGGCAGCAAGGTACCATGTGATATGTAGTCCATAGGAATTGAAAATAATCAGCAGAGGAGAAATTGCAAAGCACGCAGGGAATCCAGAAAGTTGTGGAAAGAAATGGCTAGCAGGCAGGCAGAACTCACCCCATGGAAGGGGAGTTTTCAAGTAAGCTTGTATATTGGATTGTCAAAATTAACTATCATTTGTATTACTATTACAATGCTGATGGTATAAAATGAACGTGTATGCTGTGGTCATAGAACTCCCTTTACCACTTTTCATCCCCCCACCCGCAATATACTGAGAATGGCAGCAGCTACAGGACCAGCTGTTTATTTCTGGGTTTGGAGCATGCATATGCGCCCCCCCGGTATCTCCCACTGTCATTCACTGCAAGACATGTTTGTCAGCAGGTCTCGACCAATGATTTTTGGCTGGCATTGTGCTGACCTTCTACAGCGAATGGTGAAGCAAAGCTGTGCCTGTATTTGTAAATACAGACACAGGATCTAGCTAGATCTTCTCTCCCGTGAAACCATTTTGTTACAGGGAGAGAAGAAAAAGACATCACACGTGAGTAAAAGCAGCACATTTGCACCCACACCTTAAACACATTTTAACCCCTTGATTGCCATATTTAACCCTTTGATCACCCCCTGTCACCGTGCCATTAGTACACTGTCAGTGAATAGTATTTTCACTGGCCACTGTATTAGTGCCACTAGCGACATCAGATAGCGTCAGATGGCATCAGGGTCAGTTAGCATCCCTCCCAGCTAAGGTCAGCTAGCATTAGATTGCCCGCAAACTATTGCACTCAAACTATAGGTCGCTGATCACTCCCATTACTAGTATAGTGTTTGTACGGATCAATATATTGATCACGAACAGAACAATACCAGTGCCCCCTTAGTATTAGTGTCCCCAAAAATGCAGTGTTAGCAGGATCAGCCCCGTTCACTTCCAGCTTTTGCGTATAGCCCCTCTGCCAACCCCCACCCTAACAAGAAGTGCAATGTCAGTGTAATTTCTAATCACTGTCACCTGTGGTACATTGCAAACAAAACCACAGCGTTAGCAAAATCAGGCCTGATCTCTGCTAGCACTAGCGAGTACATTTTATTGGTAGTGGTTCTAGCAGTCACTGACAGGCAGGTGCTCTTTTTTACGTTGCACTAGGTACCTGTAAATTTAGTGCCCAAAATGTCCCAAAAGAGGTACACTAGTGAAGAGGCCTACAGGATTCTGAGCATGTCAGATGAGAGCAAACGGGAAGCCTCTCTGACAGAATCCACCTCAGAATACGAACCTGTAGCATCTCAACAGGTAGCTCAGACGATGGAGAAGAGGTCCCTGTTAAGATCAGGCATACCTGACCCCATGAAGATGAAAGTGCTGGGCATGCATAACTTGTCTCACATGCAGCGGAGTGCCAGTACTAGTGCCACACTACCTTATTGTGAACGGGCAAGCACCAGCGGCCTAGCATATCCTGGTCTTTTTCATACCAGCACTGCATTATCACTTGGTGATGTGGCGAGTCCCATAAGTGCAGTACAACCTGGTGAGTTGGTGAACACAAGTAGTGTCCTGCAGCCACCAAGAATTTGCACACACGCCTGTAGAGCCATAGTGTCCTTCCGGACGTGCTTGCAAATCCTGATTGGCAGGCCACAGATTCTGCAGCACCCGTACTTCCTCCATTCACGGCCCAACCTGGAATTAAGATGGAAACAACAAATTTAACTACCCCCCTTAATTGTTTTGAACTGTTTTCCCACAGAAGATTTGTATAATTTGATTGTGGGTCAAAGCAATTTAAAATGTACTACAATTTACCGCTGCCAACCCAAATTCAGCAATTGATAAACCATTTGCATGGAAACCTATCTTGGTTTCCAAATTTTAAACTTTTTTGGGCCTAACCCTCAACATGGGCATGACAAAAAAATAATGAGTTGCAGTCGTATTGGTCCACAGACCCAATTCATCATATGCCATCCTATGTTCTTTGCTGCCATGACCAGATGTAGATATGAGAAAATAATGTGCTTCATGCATTTTGGTGATAACACACTCTGTTGTTCTCAGGGTGAACCTGAACATGACCGGCTCTACAAAATTCTGCCCCCTCATATACCACCTCACTGAGTAATTTGAAGATGTGTATACGCCGCAGCAAAACATCTGTGTGGATGAGTTCCTCATTCACTTTACTGGCCACCTCTTGACTAAATTTGCGTTTATTGAATATTGTTTATAACAGAAAGTAAGAAAATGTAATTTTTTTTCAAAATGTTTGGTCAAATACCAGTGGTGATCAAATACCATGAAAAGAAAGCTCTATTTGTGTGGAAAAAAGTACATATATTTAATTTGGGTACAGCGTTGAATGACCAAGCAATTACCAGTACAACCTGATGAAGAGTCTGGCACCTGCAGCTCCTTGTTGTAACTACATTTTGTAACAATATTAACTGCAATAAAAAAAGATGCATTTAAAACCTGATGTGCTACACACAATGTATAAAACACAATCAGTTGTGCTGGAGTACTCATGTGCGGACAAGAAACAATGATATTCACGTGAAAGTGACATCACAATTTAAAATCTATAGTTAAACTCAATTAGTTTTTTGTAACCCTAACATTTTTATATATTTTATGTAGCAGTACCCCCTAGGCATTGCTGATGAATTTGGGTCCCCCTATAGTCCTGCACAGCCAGTCCTTGAGCATTGGTTTTGGTATTTATTGAGGGTATTAGAACTTGAATAGGGTAAGGGAGGTATAGGATGAGCAAGAGAACAGATAACTGAGGACAAACTTCCTGAACTAGTCACAAGCTTCTCCTCCCTGAAGCAGTCTCTGTTGGAGTGCTAGCCAGCATCCCCTGGGTTGTACCACCACAGATCCCAGATGAACTCCTCTTCACCCAGCAATCTGGAGACTCTTCCTGAGTAGGGAATCTGGCCCCTTTTCCTTTAGATCAGGGGTCCTCAAACTACGGCCCGCGGGCCACATGCGGCCCGCCGAGTCCATTTATCCGGCCCGCCAGCAGGGCTTGGACAGTAAGGGACACTAAGTACAGGGGCAGGCAGGGGGCTGCTGTACCTTACCAGTCCCACGACGATCCAGTCCAGGAAGCGCTGCTCCTTCATTCACTCCGGCCACTCCCTCACTCCTGCCGCTTGGGCTCCGCCTCCTCACCGTGATTGGGCGCCAGAACTGTAGCTCAGAAAAGGCACACAGGCGGCCAATCACCTGCGAGGAGGCGGAGCTGAGCGACCCCACGAACATCGAGTGAGAGAGAGGCCGGAGTGAAGAAGGACAGCTGACAGGTAAGTGTGCCGTGCTGATGGTGCTGCTGAAACCAGGTATGCTGGCTGTAGCAGCACCATGCTGGAGCAAGGGTCAGCAAGTTACGTGTCATTGGTGTTAGTGGGAGGAATAGTGCCCATCATTGGTGTCACTGATACTAATGATGGGGCATTATTCCTCCCACTGACACCAATGATGGGGCACTATTTTTCCCCCCCACTGACACCAAAATACGATGGGGCACTATTCCCCCCCCACTGACATCAATGATGGTGCACTAATTCTCCGCCCACTGACACCAATGATGGGACACTATCCCCCTCCACTGACACCAATGACGTACTATTCCTCCCACTGACACCAAAGATGGGGAACTATTCTTCCCACCGACACCAATGATGGGACACTATTCCTCCCACTGACACCAATGATGGGGCACTATTCCCCCCCACTGACACCAATGACATACTATTCCCCCCACTGACACCAGTGACGGAGCACTATTTCCCCCCACTGACACCAATGACGTACTATTCTTCCCACTGACACCAAAGATGGGGGCACTATTCTTCCCACTGACACCAATGATGGGACACTATTCCTCCCACTGACACCAATGTTGGGACACTATCCCCTTCCCCCACTGACACCAATGATGGGGCACTATTCCCCCCCCCCACACTGACACCAACAATCGTGCACTATTCCTCCTCCCACTGACACCAATAATGAGGCACTATTCCTCCCTCCACTGACACTAATGATAGGGCACTATTCCTCCCACTGACACCAATGATGGGGCACTATTCCTCCCACTGACATCAATGATGGGGCACTATTCCTCCTCCCACTGACACCAATGATGGGGCACTATTCCTCCCACTGACACCAATGATGGGGCACGTTTCTTCCCACTGACACCAATGATGGGGCACGTTTCTTCCCACTGACACCAATGATGGGGCACGTTTCTTCCCACTGACACCAATGATGGGGCACGTTTCTTCCCACTGACACCAATGATGGGGCACTATTCCTCCCACTGACACTAAAGAAGGGGCACAATTTGCTCCCACTGACACCAATGGTGGGGCACTATTCCTCCCACTGACACCAATGATGGGACACACTTGGGGGAAATGTCTGTGCGCCTTATGGAGTGGCCGGCCCAGTATTCCTGCCGCCGTTGTATGTCCGCAGTCTCTGGTCATCTCCTGTACTGTATCCGCATTTATTCATAGTTTTTTTTTTTTTAAACTATAGCCCTCCAACAGTCTGAGGGACAGTGAACTGGCCCCCTGTTTAAAAAGTTTGAGGACCCCTGCTTTAGATGGTGAACAGTCACTAGCAGGGGGCTAATCTGGTTTCCCACCAGAGTGCTCCTTCCCCTATCCACCCAGGGGTTGCAGGTGTACTCACTCAGATCCTCTCCTGTACTGCTTGCAGGTTGGCTGCTTCTGCCAGTCCTATCAGCTGGGCTGCTCCATCCTTGTCATACAGGTGGTCCTCTCTCAGGGGGCCAGTGAGCTCCAAGCTATCCTCTTCTTTGACTCCAGCCTCTCATCTGCCTTTCCTTCTTTCACCTGACTCCTCACACTCCTCCTACCACCACACTCCAGCTACTGAGCACTTACACTTTTAATGGAGTCCCAACCCCTTGCCAAGTCTTCTGTAGGGGATTGGCTGAGTCCAATTCAAGAGTGCAACCAGCCACTCCTCAAATCCACCCACTTCCTCCAAGGCCCTCCTCCAAAAGCTTCAGAGCAGGGGGAATTTCAAGAGGGGCTGGCCTGCTGAGTCTCTCAGCCCTGACCACAATATGACCCATCTTGCTATTACACCTGAGCTGCTAACAGCTCCTGTCAAACCAATAGAGTTTAGATCCCCCTAGCTGCAATAGGAGGGTGCTACATATAATTGTATTAACTCCTTCATTCGCTGTACTGTTCTGTGTTGTGTCTGTCACAGACAGAGCATACAATACAGAGCAGATCAGTCCTCCTGATTAACAAAGGGAAATGTGCCCTTTTTGACAGTTAGGAGCAGCATCTGCTGTTATGTAAATGTAGAAGTGTGGTGCAAGCATTATGTTAATATTAGTGCACATTGGGGAATTTTCTAAAACTGGAGCAGAAAGATTCTAGAATAGCTGTGCAAAGTAACCAATTAGCTGAAAGCTGGAATCTGATTGGTTATTATGCACAGCTACTCAACTTTTGTCTGCTCTAGTTTAAGTATATTCCCCTCAAATGGGGAATTAATCAAGCTTCCTGTGCCATTATAATGGCTAAGCAAATATACCTGTTTCAGGTCTATCTGCATCACCCGTTCCAGCTTCTGTTTCAGAATAAAATGAAAACTAGTGTAGGTAATTAACAGAGGGAGTATGGCATTTTTCCATATATGCAACTGCCACAGGTTCCTACTAGATGTGACCTTGTCATACAAGATGTGAGCTGTTGGTAGACAACTCACATTCCTCTAGCTCAGGGGTGGGCAACTGTGGCCCTCCAGCTGTTGGTGAACTACAAGTCTCATCATGCCTCTGCCTTTGGGAGTCATGCTCGGAACTGTCAGTTTTGCAATGCCTCATGGGACTTGTAGTTCTACAACAGCTGGAGGGCCACAGTTGCCCACCCCTGCTCTAGCTGCTTTTGCAGTGATTAAACTACACGTTAAGAGCCTGTGGGGTTAACAACCCTCCTCCTCCCTCTGCTCTGAGCTGAGCAGGGGACACAGACTGCAGAGAGATCAGCTCATGCAGCTCCAGCTCTCATGTTCTCTGTACCAGGGTTGCCAAACATTTGTAAATCTACATACAGTTTGTAAACATTGGTCAGTTCACAAGCTGTCCACAAATGTCCCTTATAGGCCATAGAATAGAATAGAATAGAAAAATAATAGAATACAATAAAATAGAAAATATAACTGTCTTCCGAAATTCGAATATCGAATAGAATAAATTCAAATAGATTAGATATAGATTAGCTTCCATTCCTGGAGGACATTGAGTGACAAAACTCGTAGGCCAGGGCCTCGGAGATGATGTTACCACGTATGGGTGAGCTGCCAATGTCAAACTGTGACCGGAGCAAACCTATGACCAGCATTATTGTATGCGTTATATGCTAGTGTCAGCTGTGAGACTTTTCAATGTGAGTGGATCTGAAGTTTTTAACTTAATAAAATGCCTGGATGGTTTTACGCTATGTACTGTAGATTCTTCTTTCTTTCGTTTATGATCCCAATTGAATGCATGAAGATTCAAATTAAGGAGTGCCTTTGCAAATCGTTGCTCCAGAGCCAAAGCGCTTTTAGCTGGTTTATAACTTTACCAGCATGGAGCTCTGGTGAGTATATTTAATTTGTTTGGTGGTGGATTTCACATGAGCGTTGGGCTATACAACACACAGAGGGTTTAATAATAACAAGGATTTCTGAAGAATATTTATTTATGATCTCACTACATATTTTTATGGACATTTCTTTGGACATTTATTGATTTATGTATTTAGGTATTCACATAGACATTGAGTCACTGTTTTTTGCATGGTATAATTTAGTGCCCTATTGTATTTATTTAATTATTGTTTTTTCCCTTATTTGCACCAATATAGATGAAATTTTCCCTGATACACTAAGAGGTATATTATGACAGAGCAGCACTGTCTAATTGATTAATTATCCCAAATAGATTAGAATAGAATAGAAAAGAATAGAAAAATAAGAGAATAAAATAGAAAAAAAGAATAGAAAATAAGAGAATAGAAAAGAATAGAAATGGAATGGGAAAAAAACAATAAAATGGAATAAAACAGAAAATACCCATCTTCCGAAATTGAATTTTGAATAGAATAAATTAGAATTCTAATTTTCTGAATTCTGTCGAATTGAAATCAAATAGAATCAAATTGAATTTGAAAACAAAACAAATTCCGATAACAAAATTCAATGTACTAAACACATTTAATGAAACTAAATTATTTAAATAATGAATCGAAACAAAACTAACTAATTTTTTCATTCTGCACATGTCTTCCAAAGACTGTCAGGACCATGTCTGACTGCCTGTGTCTGCCCCTGTGGCACCCGAGCAAGCAATGGAGAAGCCTGGAGGAGGTCAGGTCAGTGACATTTTTCAGCCAGCCAGGTCACACAAAGTCTGGGGGAGGGGTCACAGGGATTAAAATAAAACACTAAAGCAAGTGGGCACTGATTTAAAGGTTTCCCTCTTATATCACTAACACCCCCTTACCTTAGTGTATTCACTCTGTGGAAGGTGGTCTGTGATCACCAGAATCCCCCCCCCTACATCAGATATCTCAGTGTTACCCAGACTCATCAGAGTTCCCCTTTACATCTGAGCATGCAGGATTCCCCCTTACATTGCAAGGGGGAACTTTGCAGACCCTGATGTAAAGGGGAACTATGCGGACCCTGATGTAAAGGGGAACTATGCGGACCCTGATGTAAAGGGGAACACTGATGTTGCAGACTATGATGTAAGTGGTGATGTAAAGGCTCTGGTGATCAGAGACCATCTTATATCAGTGTTCCATTTTACACCCAGAGTGCACAGCATTCCCCTTTACATCATGGTCTGCAGCATTCTCCTTTACATCAGGGTCCACAGAGTTCCTCCTTTTACTGGAAAAGGTAACCCTGCAGAGTCTGATGTAGGGGGAACTCTATGCTGAGTTATATTAAGCTATCCTTCATGTAAAAGGAGAAATATGTTTTTTTGTCTTTTGTTATACCTTAAGCACATTGATAATCACACTAGCTACATGTTTGTAGCCTAAATATTGATATTTGCACTGCAAATGGTCATGTTTGCAAATTTTTTGAACTTCCAATAAAAAATTGGCTCTGCCAGAATACCTTATGTGTCGTTTCAGTAAAAAAAAACAGACAGGGCAGAAAAGAAAACTTGATGGCTCCTAATTAACAAAGGGGGTGCGGTGCTTGCAGCAGCATCTGCTACAGTTTGTATTTTTAGAAGAGTAGTGCAAGTTTTTGCTTGCACAACTCTTTGTTAATTCTCCCCACAGAATGTCCATGGCCCCTTCACACACATGCCCTCTGTTCTGTCCACTGCCTTCTGTTCTGTCCACTGCCATCTGTTCTGTCCACTGCCTTCTGTTCTGTCCACTCCCTTCTGTTCTGTCCGCTGCCCTCTGTTTTGTCCACTGTCCTCTGTTTTGTCCACTGCCCACTGATCAGAACCGAAACAGAAAGTACTTTGGACTTGTCCATGGGTAAATGTAGCTTGCTGTCACGTGTGTTCAGCTTGCATTGGAGGCCATATTAAGACCCTTTTTAGATCATTCAGAGTACAATTGCACATGAATTGGACCTGTAGTTGATCTCCTTCTGACCTACATTTGATCTCAGGTTCATCAACCTACTTCAAGCTGCTTTTCTATTCCTATTTACTTCTATGTGGAGAGAAGGTTTGGGGGGAACAAACCGTTGATACATGGTATTGCGTCTGGCGAATAGGGGGCAAAAACCCCCCAAATATTTCCCTTTAACTTATGTATTTTGTACAAAGCCATTACCTCAGCTTTCAGCCTTCCGTATGACAAGGGAAACTATGCGGACCCTGATGTAAAGGGGAACTCTGATGTAAAGGGAAATGTTGCAGACCATGATGTAAGTGGTGATGTAAAGGCTCTAATGATCAGAGACCATCTTACATCAGTGTTCCATTTTACACCAGAGTCCACAGCATTCCCCCTTACATCATGGTCTGCAGCACTCTCCTTTATGTCAGGGTCCACAGAGTGGACTTGTAGTTGATCTCCTTCTGACCTACATTTGATCTCAGGTTCATCAACCTACTTCAAGCTGCTTTCTATTCCTATTGACTTCTATGTGAAGAGAAGGTTTTGGGGGAACAAACCGTTGATACATGGTATTGCGTCTGGCGAATAGGGGGCACAAAACCCCCAAAATATTTCCCTTTAACGTATGTATTTTGTACAAAGCCATTACTTCAGCTTTCAGCCTTCCATATGACAAGAGCCCTTGGAAGAGCCTTCAAGGCTAAGCTTAACAAATAAACAAGATCTAAGGGAAAACATCTGTTTATAAAGAAAAAGAGGGGGGGAAAGATTTTGAACACTT